AGTTCTGACATTTCAGGTTCTAGGTTCTGAGGCCCCTTCCTGCTCTGGTATCCTATATTGTTGGTTCTAAGGTGCCTCCCACTTTGAGCATTCTATGTATTAGGTTCTAAGGTCCTTGCCTGCTCTGACATCTCGTGAGGTAGATTCTAAGGGCTCTTCCTGCTCTGATACCCCACATTCTAGGTTCTAAGGCCTCTGCCAGCTCTGATGCCCCACCTTCTAGGTTCTGAGCTCTCTCCTAGTTCTGACATTTCAGGTTCTAGGTTCTGAGTCCCCTTCCTGCTCTGACACCCCACATTCTAGGTTCTAAGGCCTCTCTCAGCTCTGATGCCCCACCTCCTAGGTTCTGACATCTTTCCCAGTTCTAACACTTCAAGTTCTAGGTTTGGAGGCCCTCCCTGTTCAGATACCTGTGTTGTTCTAAGGTCCCTCCCATTTCTGGACATTCTGTGTTCTAGATTCTAAGGCCTCTCCCTATTGTGACAGGTTCTAGGGTCTGGGTTCTGAGATCCTTCTTAGCTCTCTTTCAGGCTCCGGTATGGGAGTCAGGAGGCCTCTTTCCTATTGTTGCCATTTACAGATGGGGAGGTTGAGGCAGCAGAGGTTCAGTGACTTGTCCAAGGTCATGCAGCTGGTACATATATGAGGCTGGTGCAAGTCCTCCTGCCTCCAGGCCGGGCGCTATCTTCACTGCCCCACCAGACTGCCATCTTTGAGAAGAGGCTGTGGGTTAGAAGACCTCAGCCTGCCTTTCCAGCTCTGCTGATGACAGTTGAACGCCTGTTTTAGGCAGGGACAGATGGGGAAACTAAGGCAAATGCCTTGGAGTCAAGCTTGGAACCTAGGACTTTCACTGCCCTGGATTGCCTCCACCAGGAGCCTAAGTCATGTGCCCTGGGCCCGAGTTGTCCGCTAGTGGCCAAGGCTGGCTCTTTGCTGCTAGCCGGGTTTCCCAGGACTCCCCACTCCAAACCCCAATTGATTTTGCCGTCTAGGAGTCTCCCCTCCCCTTCCCTGCTCCTCTGTGCTTGGCCCGGCCCATGCCTCTCTCCTCTGGGAGGCCCCCCGGGGTCATCCCCACCTATTGCTTTTCTGAGGGTGCTTTCCCCCCTTTGACCTCCCTGCTTTTTGTTTTTTTCCTGATTGCTTCCCAGTAAACAACTCACTGGCCTTTCTTGGCTTAGAGGTTAGTAGCTTTGTATTAATTTGAGTGAAAAAGCCTCACCTCCATGAGGCCTCTCTGAAGGGCTCATCTAGTCCCTTAAAGCTGATGGTTAGATAGCCTTGGTCTAGGGACTGCCTGAGGGGCCTGGGAACAGCTAGCCTAGGGGCAGTGATATCTCTGCTGGGGCCTTGGGGCATCTGGGGTCCAAGGTGCCCGCCTGACCTAGCTTCTCTCCAGGCCTTGTCCAAGGTGTATTGGGACCTCCCCCTGTCCTTTAGAAAGGCGATGCTCTAGAACGTGGGCCAGGTCATGGAGTCAGTGCACTGCAGTCTCTCGGGGCTGGTGCCAGAGCCCCCTGCCCCTCCTGAGCTCCTGGAGCACAGCGTCCCCTTTACTTCTACCTTCCAGGGGAGCTCAGGCGTCCTCTGCGTGGTTTAGAGATGCCCGTCTCCATCAGCAGGTGTGCCCCTCAGACACCTAGCCCGTTGCTGGGAAAGATCATAGAGAACCTCTCCCTTCTCTCAGAGCCTTTCCCATGGCGGCATCTTAGTACCACAAGCATTTATTCATTGCCTGCTGTATGCAAGACACTGTTCTGGCATGTGCCTTGTGATGGTCTGGAGAAGGGGGATTTCCATCTCTGGTTGTGGGAGAGGCGCCATGGTGGACCTCCATGCCATGTTTCTTAGGGGGTCAGTGCCCATCTTGCTTGGTGTCCTCCCTGCTCTGGCCTTCTGGCCAGTTACCTCGGACAGCTGAGGGTGTGAATGACTGTTACAAACAGACTATGTCACTTCATGTGGACAGTCGTGCTGCATTGTACCATCCTGAGGGCAGTGGACACACCTTGGCTGTGGTGCCTGCTTCAGGATAGGGTCTTTCACTGTCTATGTGGTGCTGGGTGGCTCGGGCCCCTTCTGGTGGGCTGGCCTGGGAGCGAAGATGTGCGCGGGGAGGGCTCGGAAGGCCAGGCTCGCTGGCCGAGGCCTTCCCTGTGCCCCTGCTGGCCGGAGCCGGGGCTTTTATCCTAAAGCAGTTGCAGCCTCAGCCGTGGCCCGGGCCCTGTTCCTTTCAGGCTGGGCGTCCAGCCCTCACTGCCCATCTTCCCACCTCAGAGTCCGCACTAGACCCTCTACATTTCATTGCAGCAGGAATGCTTTTTAATTCAGTCTTTCCTCCCAACCCCACCTCTCTCCCAGACTTCCCTGTCCCTGCTGAGGGCACCAGCGTCCTCTCGATTCCTCAGGCTCACATCCTGGGTGTTGTCCTTCACTGCTCTCTGTCATCCCACATGTGCAGTCCATTGCCAATCCTGTCTTCTCCCTTCATAGCCTCTCCACCCAGCCCTGTTTGCTCCTCCTGGTGCAGGCCTCCTGCCCTCATGCCCGGCCTCAGGGCACTTGCGTACTGCTGGGCCTGTCTCTTTGAGGCTATCTCTGTTCCCATCCTTCTTCCCCTCTGCTGCCGGAGGGACGTGTCTGAAGCATCATGACCCCACTGGGTCTTTTACCTCGAGGAGGTTCAGATAGGAAACTCAAAACCCTTATGACCTGGCCCCTTCCCTGCTGTCTAGGCTTTCACCGTCCTCTTTACCCGCTCTGTGATTCAGCGACCCTGGCTCCTGGAAGCACCCGTCTCCCATTGCCAGGCCTTTTCCCCGGCTGTTCCTCTTGCCTGCTCAGCTCGGCCTTCTGGCTTCTCAGACCTCCGAGTCCTCAGGAGGGCTTTGCTGACCCCCCTCAGCTGCTGGCACCTCCCCCGAGACGGCCTGCTTTCCACTCTGGAGTTCTCTTGTATGTTCCTAGTGTGGTCAGGCTGTCTCCCCAGTAGAACTCAAACTTCTTGAGGGAAGGGACTGTTTTTGCCTTCCCTTGTCCCCTAGGCTTAGCACACAGCCTCCTGGCACAGCATCAATGCTTAGTAAAGGCTTGCTGACTGGCCCATGTCTCCTTAGGGCTTTCCCCTCGAAGCTCAAAGCTTGTGTGATGAAGGATGGCTAAGTCCTTCTCTCATTTTACTGTAAAGGCAGTTGACTTGGCCAGGGTCACACGACTGGGACCCAAGCCCAGCTCTCCTTTTCATGACTCCATGTCACTTCCTCTTTATCACCTCCCAAGGTGAGTGCAGGGCAAGGCTGGGGAGGATGGGGTATGACATGTGGCCGGCTCCGTCTCCCGGGCACATGGCGGCCCTTCTGTACCTTCAGAGCCCTGCAGGTACTGAGCTGCTGAGGCTGGCCCTGTGGGGAAGAATGGAGGGCTTTCTTATGAAGAAAATCGCTGAACATAGGAATATTTTGGATATCACAAGGTGGATGATTTTCTTTTTTGTAATTACAGCCTAGAGGCAACAGAAAACATGGCGCATCCTTTATCATCAGCAAAGCAATTACAGGTAAATACGGCCAGCTGGAATTCCGGGGCATCCTGTCCCAGGGGCCTGCCACCTTCCCTGTCAGCTGGTGGCAGCTCTCTTGTAGTCATCTGGTAAAATGGGCCCCTCATCAGCCATGCTAAGCCTGCTGGGCGGTCCAGGGGCGGGGCAGGAGGCCTGGCTTCAGTCTGCTTTCCTTAAGCAGTGATACTCCATCCCACTTGGAGAAGTGCCCCAGGCAGGCGCTGCTCTTCTCTCCCTTCTTCCCTCCCCCTCCTCCCTTCTCCCCCCTCTTCCTCCCCCCCCCCCTCCCTCCCCCCCCCCCTCCCCCTCCCCCTCCCCCTCCCTCTCCAGCTCCACTCTCCTCTTCCCTCCCCCTCCTCCTCTTCCCCCTCATTTCCTCCACCTCCCCTTCTCTTCATCCCTTCTTCTCTTCCTCTTCCTCCTTCTCCTCCTCCCCCCTCCTTCTTCCCCTCTTCCTTGAGCCCCTCCTGGAGGTCGAAGGGGCAGCAGGGGCAGGCCTGGGCCCACACTTCCAGACTGGGGGCTTGGGCTGGTGCCAGCCCCTGAGCCGTCTGTGGTTTGCTTGAAGAGCAGGCGTAGCCTGAGTAGCTGAGGCCCAGATTTGCTGGGAACGCAGTTCCGAGGCCCGACTCTGTCTTGAGGAGCTTTGGGCCTCTCAGGGCTGTCCGACTTCCAGGCCGGCCAGAGTGAGACTGCCGGAGGCCGGGCGCCTGCCAGCCGTCGGTGTCCTCTCAGCCAAGGACTGGAGCCGATTGGCCTCCACGGGGCCTGTGCCCGGAGCGTGAGGAGCAGTGACTCTATTACCTTCTACGCTCACGTTTTAGTATGGATTCTGGACGGAGCTCAGCACCATCGATCACGGTGTCTGCCTGACTTGGCCAGACTCTGCTGACGTCGCTGAATTGGGGCTTTAATTTCAGTGAAGTGGGCACAGCGGATGCAGATTAATTTGCTTTCTCTGTCTAAGGGCTTCTGTGTTGACTCTCCTATTCTTAGACAGTTCTGGGTGTCTGTTATATGCTGCCGGAGGGTAAAAGAGATTTCTTTTTATGCCACTAATGAATCTGATTGCAAAGGAGATGCGTCCCTGGGCGCAGTTTCATTTTTAATGATTGGCTGGAGGCCCCATTTAATGCCTTTTTATTCCACAGGTCCTCTTCACTTCATCCGTCGGTACATCTGGTACAGGTGAGCCTTCTGTTCATTGTGGGAGCTCCCCGCCCATTGAATGTTGGTGGGGTCACTCTGCTCAGGCACAGTGTCTGTGCTTGGCTTGGGGGCGCCATGTTCTTGGATGCTTGGAAGGAAAAGGAGTTCTTCCAACTGGATCATGACCTGATGCAGCCACTGACATCAGGATGAACTTAGTTTTTCATATCAGCCTAGCCTATTACATAGATGGCACAAGCTTTCCAAACATTTTGGCACAGTTCAGCTCAATGGTTTTATTAGGTTGATGTCTCCCCACCCCACAAACTTGTTGCCATAAGCTTAGTGGTATGCCCTCCTGACCTCAGCATTGGCCTTCACTTTATGTTGTTTTTGGGTTTTTTTTTGTTTTTTTGTTTTTGCTTTTTGGTGAGGCAGTCTGGGTTGAGTGACTTGCCCAGTGTCACACAGCTAATAAGTGGCCTTCACTTTATTTGTTTTTTTTTTTTTTTAGTGAGGATATTGGGAGTCCTTCACTTTATAATCCCTGTCCTGGAATTTAGCTGGGTCTCCAGGGTGCACCTAATGCACCTTGCCATGGCCCTCAGGCAGAGTGACTCTTTTTTTTTTTTTTTATGGCAATTGGGGTTAAGTGACTTGCCCAGGGTCACACAGTGAGTAAGTGTCAAGTGTTTGGTCTGAGGCCGGATTTGAACTCAGGTCCTCCTGACTTCAGGGCGGGTGCTCTATCCACTGCACCACCTCGCTGCCCCTGACTCCTTCTTTCTATTGGAAAGAGATCTAATGCTCTTATGAATACTGCTCTGCTTTCCTGAAGAGATCCTGTCCCTTGACTTTAAGAAAACTTTGGTGAGGCCAAAGCCAGTCCATGCCCTCATGGAACTTGCAGTCTGAGGCTCAGTTTTCAGGTTGTTTTTGTCTGCTGTGTACCAAAGAATAAAGAAGAAGAGGAGAAAATAAAAGCATTTCAGCAAAATCAGCTAACCAGCAGAGCCCCCTGCACCACGCTTGTGGCTTAGGAGATCACTCCTCGGGAGATGGCAGAGAGAGAGAGAGAGAGAGAGAGAGAGAGAGAGAGAGAGAGAGAGAGAGAGAGAGAGAGAGAGAGAGAGAGAG